GCTCCCTCTCCTATTCCACGCCGTTTGATTCCTGTTGATGGGATGGCACATATAGATGCAGATGCACGCATAACATCTTCAGGAACATTTACTGTTCTATCTTACAACATTTTGTCTGATGCATATGCTTCAAATGATTTATATAGTTACTGTCCTCCATGGGCCCTTTCTTGGCCATACCGCAGGCAAAATTTGTTAAGAGAAATAGTTGGTTACCGGGCAGATATTATTTGTCTTCAAGAGGTATATAAACGTGCTTTGGTTTCTGGTTGAGTTTGATGTTTAATAAACTTATTTAATTTATCTAATTTTTTAATCTTCATTGTTACAGAGTCATTAAATGAAGTAGCAATATGATAGTGTCAACATCTGTTTTAAAGATGAATCATTTTGTGAGAAATTTGAAATTATGGTCGTAGATCAGTTTCCAAGGGGTGGAGTGCCCTGATGGCATTTGTAATTTTTTTTTTTTCGTAACAACATTTTAGACCTGTGTGATCGAGATTTTTGTATGTGTTGCGTGCTACATGAACTTAATTTCCATTGAAAGTGATTTAGTGGGCTCATTGCCCTTTTAAAAAAAAAAAAATTTACTCGCATTTGTATCTCATGTCATGTGGAATAATTTGAGTCAGATGTAACCCAGCAATCTTGAGTTACAATTTTATGCTCCTCACTCACAAAATTAAAGCCCTAAGAAGCATATGATTGCTCTGTTAAGACCTTTTCTTCCAGCTGACTGTCAATTTTCCTCCCAGGTACAAAGTGATCATTATGATGATTTTTTTGCTCCTGAACTGGACAAACATGGTTATTATGGTCTATACAAGAGAAAAACTGATGAGGTTGTTCAAATGTTTTCTTTCTTTTTGTTGTAATTTTAAAATTCGATTTGATGTTAATCTGTTAATTTTTTTGTTTATAGTTATTTGGCAGCAACACCAACATAGTTGATGGTTGTGCAACATTTTTCCGTAGAGACAGATTTTCACACGTGAAGAAATATGAGGTTGGGAAGTATTTTGTGTGATGGTAATGCTCTTCATTTTGCATGTAAATTAATATGATTTCTGCTTGCTTTCAGGTTGAATTTAACAAGGCTGCGCAGTCTTTAACTGATGCTATGATTCCAACTGGGCAGAAAAAAGCAGCGTTAAATCGGCTGGTTAAGGTGGTTTATTGCTTCAAAGATTACATGTACCTTTTGCTCCCAGGCATAAATATTTGTCTAGCTGATTCTTATTCTTCTTTGTTTTAGGACAATGTTGCACTAATTGTGGTTTTAGAAGCAAAAGTTAACAATCAGCTAGTTGACAATGCTGGAAAAAGACAGCTTCTTTGCGTGGTAAGCTTTTATGTTGCTATTATTTATTTGTGACCCTATGGCAACATTCTGTTCATGCATTCATATGTGGTAGATTGTGGATGGTTTTCATTGTCTATTCTTTAATGAAGGTTCTAAGACATTTGATTTTTCCATCAATGAGCACTCAGCCCTTTTTTCTTTTGCTAGTAGATTGAGCTTATATAAACTTTTTCGGTGGTATTTCTCATTGACCTTTTTTTTTTTTTTTTAACTTGACTTAGGCAAATACACATGTAAATGTGCCCCAAGATTTAAAAGATGTTAAACTCTGGCAGGTGAGCCATCTAGTTTGCTCGTGAGCAGTTTTCATTTTGCACACAGGAGTTATGACTCCCAACTTTATAGGTGCACACATTATTAAAAGGGTTGGAGAAAATTGCTGCAAGTGCAGACATTCCGATGTTGGTTTGTGGAGATTTTAATTCAGTTCCTGGAAGGTAACTATGTTATGTTTTTTGATTGCAGCTTATTTTAATCCTGTTTAGTTCTTATGGCTGAATCACTAGATTGTGGCTGAAAGTGATAATAAACTTTGTTGCAGTGCTCCGCATTCACTTCTTGCATTTGGGAAGGTAGATCAAACACATCCAGATTTAGCCGTTGATCCACTCAATATACTGCGGCCACACAACAAGCTGGTTCATCAATTGCCGCTGGTAATATATTCCTCGGATTGCATTCTAGTTGTGTTTTCCCTTAATTGCTTCTGTTTATCATTTTCTTTTTCTTTTTTTTTTTTTTCACTTTAGTTTTTCGGGCTTATGGATAACCATCAATTTCAGGTTAGCGCATACTCATCCTTTGGAAGAACAGTAGGTCTCGGATTTGAGCAGCACAGAAGGAGAGTGGATAGTGCAACAAATGAGCCCTTGTTCACAAATGTCACCAGGGATTTTATTGGCACTCTGGATTACATATTTTACACAGGTGAGCTATTTTATAATGCTGTGTTATTCGCCTGATATTGACATGCGGGTTACTGTTTGACGAAGTAATGATTTTTTGGTTCAGCGGATTCATTGGTGGTGGAGTCACTATTGGAGCTATTGGATGAGGAGAGTTTGAGGAAAGACACAGCACTTCCCTCTCCTGAATGGTCATCTGATCATATAGCTCTGTTAGCTGAATTTCGCTGCTGCAAGAATAGATCTAGGCGTTAACACTTGAAGGTAGGAACTTTCTTCCCCTTGCCTCTTTGCCATCATTCTGATGGTTGATTAATTTGCTATCAATTCAGTGTTGTGTGCAAAATTTACTTGTGTCTCTTAGCCTCTTTGGTTCACTCTGCCTTTTTAACATGTTCGAGTTTGTATCTGTGTTTGTGGATGCCTGAGTTATTTTGACAATAATTATGTTTCTCAATGTTGCAGTTGAAATCTATACACACAAAGAAAGGCTGAAATAAGCATTTGGCTGATAAGCTGCTGTAAGAATGGTAGATCACCCCTTCGTCTTTTCAGGTATCTTCATGTGGGATCCTAGCAATGATCTGCCTTGTAATATGCCGCCCTTGTCGCATAGGAAAGTTTGTATACACCTTGTTGAATTTTCTCCTTGCTGCCTCCTCCCCAATCCTCCTTTCCCTCTAAAGAGGGATTTGTCTTTATAGATGTTCAGTGGCCCAATTTATTCTAGCCATTGGTCCATTGACCCTTTTGTCCAAATTCCTGGAGATAATCTAATGGCCGCTGAGCAGAGTTCAAATCCCTTCTATAGTGATGAAATAATATTCGAAACCTAGGTTATGCTTAGTTGCCAAATGTCAGCAGAAACCTGACGTGATATTCATAACGAAGCGTCCCTCCGGTATGGGAAGGGCTGCCTAACTTGGGCTTTGTGATCTGTGTTGTAGCTAGCGACCATATGTAGCATTGTATATGGATGGAAGATGCTTAATGTTGAATGATGGATTTTGCACCATAAAAAAGGGCACAAGTCAACTACTTGATTCTTCGGCTCTGCAATTTTTAGAATGCCATTCTGGGCAGCGAATGAACATTTGAGCTGTGTATTGTAGTGACACTATCAGCTTCCATTTCGCGCATAATGCGCAATGCTAATCCCATTTTTCTTTTTGGGATGTTTCGTTTGTTTTTAATTTTTTCCTTTTACACTAGGTACAAATTCATAGTCACCCAAGGTGGATTTTAAAATGATTTAGTTTGAAATATAATACACCAGTTGATAGAAAAAGGAAGATTTGACCATGACAATTTTCTGGGTTTTGTAGCTTTTTTTTTTTAAATACATCTTATATTCAGGTATCTTTCGCAAGAAACCGTTTTTTCAAAATATTACTTCCGGTCCTAATTATAAGAGTTAATTGACTAATTTGAGGAGATTAAGAAAAGAAATTGATTAAAAAAAGAAATTAAGTTAGTTATTTGTGATAAATAGATGTTATCTTTCTAAAAATATTTTTACCAATCAAGTGTATTGATTAGAATTATTATTATTAGGACTAATTTGAAAAAAAAATTAATATGATAAATAAAGTGAATGAGGTTTTATATTTAAGATTAAAATAAAAATTAAACAAAGTCTTATATTAAGGACTGAAATATTTAAGATTAAAATAAAAATTAAGTAAAGTTTTGTATTAAGGACCGGAAGTAATACGTTATATACTGATCTGCATACAAGTAAATAATGACAAATGTTCCTGGTTTAAAATGAGTTTAAACATTTAAAATTATTGAAATAACAAAAATATCTAATTATAAAGTTAACTAACTTTATATCATGATTAGAATGAGTCAATTCAATGATATAAAAATGTTTGCTGGCAGAATTTTGATTTTTAAGAAAAATTTATGCGTATCTTTGCATTCCCCATAGCTAGCAATTCTGATGGGCTGTGAAGTTTTACTGAACTGGCTTTATCCTCTGAAACAAAAGTCAACCTTCAGAAAAAAAGAGGATTGTTTTTGGTCATCCTATAAAGAACCTTAGATATGTACTCCCATGTATATTTATATTGAACAGAAAAATGAGTCATGTTTTATCTCACTTCATTTTTATTTGAGCTTATATCAATATTAATATACCACCTCCTGTTTTAAATATAAGAACTAGTTGATTAATTTGAGTAGATTAAGAAAATAAGTTAAGTTAAGTATTTGTAATAAATATATTTTGTTTTGTTTTTAAATATTCTTGTGTATTTGCTAAAAATATTATTATTAAAAGAATTACCTTAAAAAAATATATAAATATGAAAAATAAAACGAATTAAAATTTTATATTTAGAATCAAAATAAAAATCAAACGAAATGGAAGTAATATTGATTATTATGATAAAACAGTATGATGGCCGGTAATAAAATTTTAAACAAACCAAACCAGGCACTTGAGTTTTGAATTGCGACAATAATACTACAAATTTATTTCCTACATTATTAAGGGAAAGTTTAACCAAAAATTTGTTACAAGATCCCATGCCGCTCGATCATCACTGACATTTTCACCGTTAACGTGTGGGCTAATGCCATGGGAATGGGGGAGTTCCTCTGAATTCTTTCTCTCTTTCTTTCTTTTTTTTTTTGGGTGAGGAGTTTCCCTGAATTCTAACGGAAAGCGGGGAAAAGGAAAAACAAGATAGCAAAAAAAAAAAAAAAACTAAGCACCCCATGCGAGTGTTACCTCACGCACCCCCTCCAAACTCCATTTCCTCTCTCTTTTCGTTCCTTTTCACTCCGCATGCTGCGAGCAGCTAAAGGGGGACGCCGGAAGTTTTCGTCTAGGGTTTGCCCTAATCCGGATATTCTCACACGGTCTTAATTGAGCAAAGTAGCGAGATGGGTGTGAATTCTCTGCCATCGGAGTCGAGCAACGATCTCGATGAGCAGATCTCGCAGCTAATGGAGTGCAAGCCGCTTTCAGAGCAGCAGGTTTGATTTATTTCACATGAATGGTTAGGATCTGCTTAGTTTCTGTAGAAGCGTATCAGTTAGATGTGGAATCAACACCGAATAGTTTTAGCGCCGTGTCGTGGCGAATTCGAATGTCGTGAATGCAAAGTTGGAAGACATTTGAATTTATGATTGGTTTGTTCATAGGAAGACAGAAATTCGATGAGTATTAGATTGACTTGGCGAGGAAAAAAAATCATAGACAATGCTATTTGTTTGCAGAATTGGATTTTTACCTTTAAGGATCACGTTAGATTTCGCTCGGAGAACTTAAGTACCCTCCCGTGTCAGGAACTTGAGGGATTTTCGTCATACGCCGAATCTTAGTGTCTGGGGTGTAATCAGTTGTCCATAACTCATATAGGGCGAGACAATCGCCTAAAAATTACTGGACTGTTTTGCATTTGCTATTTTGATATTTCACATGGTCAGATCGTTGGATATTCCTTATTTTTAGACCTTCTGACGGCAGAAATTAGAACTATCCTGAAGTTATGAACTATATTGCTGGCGTCCCAAGGTATCTGGCAAGATAGAGTAGTTTCTTTCAGACTATCTTATGGTGTGGCTGTCGGGGTTTTCTCACGAGGTCTTTACTTTGTTGATATATCGGTGGAGCAGATATAAGCTTTGGGTTTTGATTCTTTGTGTTGAAGTGCTACACTATTGTAGTTGTCGAACGTCAAAGATTGATCATTGATCATATGCTTAGGAAGGGGTGCTTAGCGCATGGTGCGCATGCTTCTTTGTTGATTGCCTTTAGTTTTCAAATGGGCATTTCTTCCTCTATGACTTTTGTATCGGCGGCGATGCTTCATTTATTTCTACCCATCACAGAGTTCATTTCACAAAGTTCTTTCTCGAGACTGACTTAGATAAGAGAATGACTGCATTTTTTTTTTTACTTCTTGAGTGATCAATGTTGGAAAACATCAAAAGGGTTTGTAATTTTATATTGATTTCCTTGTTTATTTAAAGTTTTCATGCTCAATTTATTGACATTATTGATTGTTATTGCTGGTGTTCTGTAAATTTAAACTGATGATATTGTTTTCTGATTCGCCTTCAGGTTAGAGTTTTATGCGAGAAGGCAAAGGAGATTTTGATGGATGAAAGTAATGTCCAGGTGCTATTCTTTATTCACGCCTTTTAACTTGTACCTCGCAGTGATAATTTTCCTGTTTCTTAAGTCATTGATTTCACTTCGTAACTATTCCTTCCTTTAATCTTTCACTTAGTCAGAAATGAACTAACTATACTTTTTTTATTTGTTTTAATATTTGGGTCCATTGCTCTTGCGCCAGTTCCTTTAAATGCTTGTTGCTCTGGGAATGGCACCTGTTTTGTGGGAGGAAGAAATAATTCTTTTGAGCTTTCTTTTCTATATGCTTAAATTTATTGTGCCGCCCATCCTTGTAAATGTCAATCACATTACGTATAACCAAGGGAACTTTAATTTTCAGAGTCTCTATGCCGGAGAAAGAATTAATTTTTTTAATCTCCTGTATCGCAGCCTGTGAAAAGTCCTGTGACAATCTGTGGTGATATTCATGGACAGTTTCATGATCTAGCTGAGCTATTTCGAATTGGAGGAAAGGTATCATTTATGACTATGACTTTCTTTTGGCATTCAAATCTTTTGTTTCAGCTGAGGGGAATGATGTAATATAAGTAATAAATTGAGACCTGCCAATGGATAAGATTTTGAAAATTGAAGCGCCTGAGTTTTTCAGAAGTGGATTCCTTGAAGGGCACTATTCATTGAATTCAATGGGCCCTTTCATTATTATTCTAAAGTTCATTTACCATTTTTCTATTCAAAATAATTTTTATGATCTGTTATAGCATATTTGTTTGATTATGGGTTGTGTATTTTGCTAGTGATTTAGTGAAAATTCCTTTATCAGGTCGTGATTTGAAATCTAAGAATACCTTCTTTTTTTTTTTTTTTTGGGTACAGTGTCCAGATACAAACTACTTGTTTATGGGAGATTATGTGGACCGAGGTTATTATTCAGTGGAAACTGTAACAGTAAGTGTCTTGAAGACCAATTTATCTGATTTTTTTTTTTTAAATTATTCTGCAGTATCATTTCATTTTCCTCCTCCCTTTTTCATGCATTTTGGAAGTTCATGGTTGAGGTTGAGTGAACTCAGCCAGAAAGTTTTTCTCAAGCCGAGTCTTTTAAGCGTGGCTGAGCATCATTTAAGTTGTCTTCTAGCACATGACTGGGTTTTAAGCGAGGGTGATCATTATCTTTCATTGCAAATTTGCAATTGTATTTCTGTCAAGTTTTTGAGCATTGACCTCTCAACTTGTGGATCCTTGGTAAGGTACATGCCAAGATTTTTAGTCTTTGTCAAGCATTTTAGGCAGCTAAGCAGAACATCAATAGATATGTATAAAGTTTGATGCATGCTTGAGGTGCTAATTAGTTATTCTATGCAGCTCCTTGTGGCTTTGAAAGTGCGGTATCCTCAACGGATTACTATTCTTCGAGGAAACCATGAAAGTCGTCAGGTATGTGCCCCCTCCCCCCTTCTTTCATTGAAATTTGTACAGGGGGTGCTTGAAATGGCTTGTCTTGGAAATTTTCTAGTCGTATAACAAATTTAGTTGTCTAGCATTTTGGTTTTGATTTGCAAACTTGCGCATGATTATTAACCTGAGTAGTGCTTTATCATTTTTCCCTTTTGCAGATTACTCAGGTTTATGGATTTTATGATGAATGCCTAAGAAAGTGAGTTTTCAACACCTTCATTTAGTGGTCCTGGGGAAAAACAGGAGATGCTTTTGTCTTGGGAAGATTTTATGTTTATAATTCTATGATTGTATCAATTGAGTTTCTCGTTGTTAATTAAGAACTACCAATATACAAATGTACCATTATTACTGTTATTATGATAGTGTCGCAATTTTTTTTTTTTGGGTCATGTAAACTTTCTTTTGGATATATTATCAACAATAGGATGCTTAAAAACTCTTCTTTTCCCCTAACACGTATTTCTAGCATTTTGCCATTAGATTGTTGCCAGCAAATTTTTTTTTTTTTTTTGGGTTAAGAATTTGGGAGTCTTGTTTTCGATATTCAATATTGATGCATATCTCACAGGACATTTTGATATATGGTTTCATAACGAGTGATGCTGTTGAAGTTGTGTGATTAACACAATAAAGTGGTATGCCTTTTTGTCATGGTTAAAATAATCGAAGCATAGAAGTGTATACATCATGTTATTATTATTGATCTGAAGTGAAGCATAATGGGAGAAAACAAATGTTTATTTTATGCTTGGCTCCAATATCCTTGATTCAACACCAAGACAGGTTGATAGCCTCAGGATGCCTGTACAGTTGGGATACAAAAAGATCTTGCGATTATAAACTATTTTTCCTGTCAAAAGGAGTACTATTTTATTGGGGTCGGGTGTCTAGGATCCATGGCATGTGATCCTGGTCAATCAAACTTAGAAATTGAACTGAATAATAATGTACTTAGACGCTAAGCAGAGTAGCAAACTTCTTTGTGTTTACAAGCTTTGGATATGGGATTTATGCAATTCTTATCATGTGCTTGCACCAATAGTGTTAGCAATTGATCTGCAGCCTTGTGTTTTGAAGTACATGATCTCTGAGCGTCAAATTGGGCACTTCTTTCTTGTGAGGATGGACGGTCTGTGGACTTAGTGTGCAGGCTAAAATGGATCTAGAGATAGATTTCATCATCTGATAGCGTTGCTAGTAGTCAGATTTGAGATAGTTTTGGCTTTTAAAACGGTGACAGAGGCACTTGGTATAATTTGTCACTTATCGACATGTGTGGGTTGATAATGTCATATGTACTGGAATCTAGGTTCTGATACAACTTGATCTGCTGTACAGGCTTTGATCCTTTTGGTAGTTCCTGTTGCATGAGTGGTTTAATTAGAATAAGATGTTCCTCTTTGCTTGTCAAATTGCTTCTAAGCAATCTAATTTCATGTCTCCTCTTTCAAGTCCATGATAGTTCTTTCCATTGTTTATTTGCAGATATGGTAAAGCCATTGTTTGGAAGATCTTTACGGACCTTTTTGATTACTTTCCATTGACTGCATTGGTTAGTAGAAACTTTTGCCATTTGTGCATTCCCATTTTAATCTTTAGTGGCCACAAGGACAGCAAAAAATGTGAGGATTAACTGTAGAAACTTACGGCATGTTTGGTAGGAGGGAAAGAGTTTTTAGAAAGGGATACGTTAGAAAGCCCATTTCCATCAAACATGGGAAGGAACCTTCCCTCAGGATAGCTGAGGAAATGCCATTTTCCTTGTGAACCTGAGTATGGAGGATGAAAAACCCTGTTTGTTATAGTTAAAAACTGATTATCTCTCTTTTTGTATACAAGGATATTTGTGCCCTCTTTTTCAAATATTGTTTTTAATCATACCAAACATACGAATTGATCCTATGGAAAGCCTATTTTCCTTTATAATTTCCATTCTTGTTTGCTGAAAACTGCTATTTTATCGGATGTGACCTTAGAGAAAGATGATTCTGAATTCTTACTTAAATCCAAGGTAAGGGATCATGGCAACAAGAGTGCCACTAGAACTAGAATCCCATAAAATCAGCAAAGAGATGGTAGTAAATAGATTACATTGAAATAGGCAAAAAGAAAACTAGCAAGAAAAAAAATCAGTGATTATTGGTGCAAGTAAGGTTCTTTGCCTTATCATGACTCAGGTCCAGGTTTTCAATTTGTTGGTGCACAGCTTCCTTCTCTTCACCATAATAACTGTATAGAAATGTTAGTTCCAGTTTTTATTCGCTTTTTTATTTAAAGTCATTTCAACTTCTAACTTAATTTGGTCCCAACAGGTTGAATCGGAAATATTTTGTTTACATGGTGGACTGTCGCCATCAATTGAAACCCTTGATAATATAAGGAACTTTGATCGTGTTCAAGAGGTCCCTCATGAAGGGCCCATGTGCGATCTTTTATGGTCTGACCCTGATGACAGATGTGGCTGGGGGATTTCTCCTCGTGGTGCTGGATATACCTTTGGCCAGGTAGCCATAAATTTAACAGTCGATTCTCTACATTTATGACGTTTTTGAAGCATTGAGAGTGATTATTGTCTTGGTTTTTATTTTGAATTCATACTCTTTGTTCCAGGATATATCTGAGCAATTCAATCACACAAACAGTCTCAAGTTGATTGCTAGAGCTCACCAGCTAGTGATGGATGGATTTAATTGGGCTCATGTAATTGTCATTTTTTGGGAATTGTTTCCTCTTTGGCTTTGCTTCATTTTTTTGGGGGAACAAAAAGAATAAGGAGGTCGTTTAAAGCTAATGTCCATTGTTTGGCCGAAACAGGAACAAAAGGTGGTTACCATATTTAGTGCACCTAACTACTGTTATAGATGTGGGAACATGGCTTCCATTTTGGAGGTTGATGATTGCAAGAGCCACACATTTATCCAGGTCTTTCTTGTTCAACTCTCCTTGTTCTACTTGATATGAACCTGATTGAGTGGACGCATAAATTTGTGTGTATGTTGCAGTTTGAACCGGCTCCTAGGAGAGGTGAACCGGATGTCACCCGTAGGACGCCTGATTACTTCCTATAATGTGGCCGCTGGATGACGCACTGGTATTACTACTTACTGCACTAATTTCAGGTAGTGTACCGTAGTAGTGCATTCTCGTTCCTGATATTGCTGCATGCATTTAAATCCATGGATGTACGCTTTCCATGCTTTTGTCGGTGCTCCGGAAGTCGGCTTTGATGTATCATAGGTAGGTAATATTCCCCTGATTTGTTACGCCCGAGAATTTGCTGGAGGCTCTTTGGGAGAAGTTGCCTAGATGACGCGCAAGTCAAAAAATGTATAATTCCACCAAAATGTGGATATTTTTAATTTTCCCGTCTTTCTTCCTTCTCTACTCCCCCGTCTTCATTCCCCGGGTTCTCAGGCCCTTTAAAGCTGTGACTGGGATTTTTCCATCTTGTGCAAGTTTTTGCCATGTTCTTATTAATTTTTATTTTTAGAAAAAAGTGCACGATGTTAATGATAAGTTTTGTTCTTACTATATCACGGTCCAACCATTATACCTTTTCCTCATGAGTGAGCTTTTCTCTAGTGCTTTATTTTCTTCATATGATAACTCGTGTAATCTCGTCAACAATTGGTCGATCAACTTTTGAGTGAATGTAGGGATTGCTGGAGTGTTTATTCTGAACAATTTGCCCTTGGTCTGCATTCTATCGTCCCCCATTTTACGTACATATGCGTCTAGCCACACGGGCTTGTGATAGCCCTTCCGAATTCTGATGCACTTGTTTCAACCTTGACTGATACCGATCACCAATGCCTATTATTTTTAGCTGCATGAGTGGATTTCATTGCTCATCATCAATGAACATCAATCTGGACTGTTCGGATTAAAATTGGACTTGTTATATTTTCAAAATTAGTTTTAATGGATGCATAACTTAAAATTATAAATTAAAAATTTTAAATCAAGCTTTCAGAATGGATGTAGATGGTTTGGACCAAAGCGGAAAAATGTTCGTTTTTTAATGGATTGGGGGTAATAAGCGCGCAAGCTTTAGTGTTTATTTTATGGTCCCTTTTTATTCTTTTGGGTGAGCATAGTCGGCTTAATAATTCCCTCTCTCCAATAGTTGAATCGGTTATGTCTTTAATGACATCAAAAGATGCAGATAGAAGAAAAATTAAATGAGACTGCAAATGCTAAATGGAAAAAATCTGAAACTTCGATGACAATGTCTTGGGGACCTAAAGGAAGATAGATACAGCTGAATCTGTCTGGGTTGCCACAAAAGCTTCATTATTAACGTGATCAAAATTGGATGAGCAGTCGCTATACAAAAATTTCATTTACATGTAGGTTTACAAACCTGATAATGGTACATGCTAACAAAACATCAACATCACAAGCTCAAATATTGAAAAAGTGAAGGGACAAGATCAACCACAGACCACGCAAGACCTGCATACTGAAGAAATCTAATTCCTGTATCTACATCAAATGCCCCGTGCTGGGAAAGAAGCCTGTGCAAATGACCTCCATGTTTGAGCTTATCATCCGTTCTTCCATTGAATGATCCTTTCAAGGAGGGTATATAGCTTGTAGATTTTATTGGGATGCCCAAAGTATTTGATACCACAGGTAGAGTCCATTTTGCAAGCGTCTTGCTACAGAATTTCACAATCAGAATTGTGGGAATTCCCAAAAGCAGTCTCCCCACAAATATAGGTAGTGTGATTTCTGAAGAGAACAGACGAGGAATGGAGTCGTGGTGAAACTGATGGTATGTTTGTTGTATTCCGGCGACCTGGAGAACACGACCACTTCATTAATTATAGTACATGCAGAAATAAAACAAAACCTGCGGCATTCTTGTTCTTGATAAGGAATTAAGGATGTTAAATTGTGTTCTAAATTAACAACTGGACTGCATACTCAGCATAGTGAATGCGGAAAATCCTGCTTGAAAAGCAGATTTCAGACAAATACCACGCCTGATGATGGTAAACAACTAATCTACATCAATTTTGAAAACAATGCCATCAGGTGGGTAATCATGACACTTTGGTTGTTATCGCTAAGTAACTCTACTGCCATATCTTCCAGACAATCATCCATTTGTTCGAAGGAAAAGAAATCATCGACATTTGGCAAAAATTACAAAGTGGAGAAGTGATTAAAACATCCATTGGATGCGTCATGCGTCCCAACCTTTCATTCTTAAATTTCCATTGCTTACAAGCAGTTGGATCACCAATTTTGCTAATCTCAATCTGGTCCTAGAATGTTGGCGTTAGACTTTCAATTATAGTTTGCAAAACCATTGAATTTCCATTTTCAAAGGCCTTTGACCTCAGCTAGTTTTTCATTTTCCCTTTTTACCATTCAACCCAACCTCAGATAACAGATATAACAAGTATTGGCATGATGCCTTTCCCAATTTTCAAATGGAAGGTTCCGATCTCTATATATAGATTAACCCACAACAAGTTATAAAGCACTCAGAATACTTCAAAGTCAAAACCCATACATCTCCCCATCTACCTCAGAATAAGGACTCTTTGGAAATAAACAGCACACTCCAACTCTGAGCTTGAATACTAGTAAATCTTCCATGTAAGCACCCATCAATCTTTACTGCAGTTCTAAGTGATGCCTAAAGAGTCCTATTTGAGTAATAAAAATGGATAATAATAGAAAAGACACTGATTCAAAGAACTGAAATGGAGAAGAGCTCTAATAGAGAGTGTTTTTAATCATGGAATGGAGGAATGCCAAAATCTTGGTGAGAACTGCAATACTAAATTACCAGTACATTTGAATATTTGATCTTGATCCTTAAGCTATTGAGCAATGAATCGCATGCAGCGCTTAAATATCATTCAGTACTGCCTTATGCCAATGATTGCTATATCGTCAGTTGGAAGCTGTCTAACCAGCATTCCCGTCTAAATCAATGACGCCACCACGTATGACTAGTCAGAAATAATTCCGGGACATGACAAAGTTAAATTCATTTCCAGAGACGCAACACACAGAAGTAGATTGTGCAAGTCATTGTTCTAAGCAAGCAAGTTGATATAGCCATTTTGGTATTGTGTATAGAAAAAGAATGATTTTTCGCAACTTGATAAAACAGAACAGTTGATCAAAAGATGAAGAATCTCCTCAAGATTCACTCATATAAAGACCTCATAAAGAGCGAAGATAAAATTATAATATAATCTTTACTTATCCACGTTTTGGCAAAAGAGAAATGGAAAAAAAAAAATCTTTAGATGATTTTAAAGGTTAAAACTTCTTACAATTCCCAATGCAACACCATTGAAAGCTGTGTGATACTCAAAACTTGGAGTATGAAGTTCAGGAGTTGGATAAGCAAAGAGCAAGAGGAAGCTCAGGGCAGCCCAAAAAGATGCAACTGCAACAGATACAGACTATTATGAGGCACATGATATGAAAGCTTGCTGCGCTTACCCCACATCAAAAGAAATTCTATGCAGAATATCAAATGTTTTGCATCCTGTAAAAGAAAATGTTTAATGAAAAAAGAGGAGCCTCACAATCGTCACAAGTTTATGAACATTCTACTCGTAACTAGTTTTTCTGTTCTGATCATTACAATTGTGTTGCAATTTCTAAAAGCTGACTTCCAGTATGTGCTGTTAATACTCTACAATTTTTTTTTTTTAAAAAAAACTTTATGATGAATATATTAATTAGAAGTAGAGATACCATTTTGTCCTGAGACCACAAAACTGTCTACGCATTCATCAACTGCAAACCAAAATACAAGGATCCCGAGTCCTATGAGAAGACCGCCAAGGACATCAACCAAACTGTGCATGCCAAGATATATTCTTCCTACAAAGGTGAACAAAAACAGATCACAGTATTGACGTGTAACAAGGTAACAATAAGAAAGATTTCTAATAATCTCACGTAACAAAAACTTACCCAAACCAATAAGAGCCACAAGCAAGCAGGCAAGAGCAACTCCAAGAATATTGATATAGGCGCCTTGAATTTGAGCTTGGGTCAGGACATAGTGCAGAAGGTAACTGGATCCATTACAAAGAGAAACATCAATTAATGACAAAAGTGAGGAATAAAAAGCAAGGTTCTAATTTGCTCATAGGATAACCTGAACCTTGTCCAAAATATACACGCCTTCAAATCAACAATATGCTCACAGGCATTAAGTACTTGAACTGATGATAGAACAGCTAAAATATTCTGTGAGAAATACATAATCAATTCTTTAGTGTTATCATGTTTTTTTCTCTTCAGTCAATCTGAACAAAAGATTGCCAAAAGATTAGCCTTTCTTTGAAAACAAAATGAGGAGCCACAGAAGCAGGGAAATAAAGTATTAACATTTACTGTGTCAATGTACTTGCGTGTGCGCGCAGGCATCTGTCTGTCTGTGACCATTTGCCAACTCTTTGTTAGAAAAGTTTGGTCTATGTGACTTGACTGGTAAGGTATGCAATCTGCTACGCATTCAGACTCTTTGAATACATGCCTAATACATCAACAGCCTCTTGTGACAACGCTAACAACCTTATACAATTACACAGCGCTGCTCCTTAAGACACACCTCATAATATCTTATTCCCTTTTGGTCACCAATATCGCCAAATTTGCCCTTGCCCAAGTAGGATAACTTAGTAATTAAAGAGAAGTTGAAAGAATTGTAAATACCCGGATAGACAGACTGTGTTAAGAGTGTGAGAAGAAGGCAATCCATATTCCAATGAATTCTCTTCTTCATCTTTTGTAGCTGTCACTCTCAGAACAGGAGGAGAAGTAGGTCTTGGAGCAGATACCACATCCTATTGAACGACAAACAGCTCGGGTACATCATCTTACATGTTAATAGCAAATGCGATTTTCAGGAGCACATGAAAAGATAAGTCCAATTTAAGTACTTACCTTTATGCAATTACCTATATAGTCACAGAACGCCATCAACAAGGTCATCTGCCTCGCCAATTTGGCATGCCCACTCTATATAGATGCAAAAAAAGTGAACTTTTCAACAAGACTATAACATATAGAAAAATTCTCAATAATTCGTGAATTTAACAAACTCATGTACAGAGGGAAGAATCACATACCCAGAATAATAGAGGAAGAAAAGCAGTGTAAAAGGGCACTGAAACAACACAAGATAAGCCGGAGAAAAGAGCATCCAGAAATCCAGACCTGTAACTCTGCGGAAACCCACCAAACAGCAGCCACAAAATTGACCCATAAAAGTCATAAAACTATCGAAAGAGCAAAAATCTGTATTTTTCTATTTTTGTTTCGTTTTAAATCATAAATTGCTCGTTACCTGGATCCGGAGGACTACAGGAGTTCCAACCTCAACGTGGTGAGTCACCCAAGGTTGCAGGAAAGATCTAAGCTTCCGAGTGACATCGAAGTATGAAGACGAGACGATCCACAACACTATTCCAGCCAGAGTCGCCCCCTGCCACATCGTCGCCCCCACCATTATTCTTCCTCTCTCTCTTCGTCGACTTTGGGGAAAGAGAGACCTCAGAAAACAACGAGAGTAGCAGAAAACAATTGGCAAATTTAGAACTGCTGGCAGCCTGGCAGAACCCCGGGAAATTTTGGAAGAATAAAATCATAAAAGAACACTGCGGATTATTCAGTGCTAGTTTTCGTTTTTTTAATCGTTCTTAGTGCGGCTTGGTTTGAACCATGATTGATTTTTGTAATTGTTTGGACCTTGGACCTCGGATTCTTTGGTTTCGGCTGGCCGAGAGCATTGCCAGCCCAGGACACCAACTTTGAACGCGTAGCGGTTCTCGGGGCAAAGGGTGGGAAATTTCCTGCCTCCTGTCCGCTTCTGTTTTCGGTTCGCATCAAATTACTTAATGATTTTTAATTTTTTGAGGAAAATATTGGTATCAAGTGGTAATAAATATTTTACTTTTTAAAAAATTTAAAGATGAGTATGAATTTTCAAAATATGAAATAATCAGTGTCAGAAAATTACTTAGGGCCTGTTTGGCCAACCTCATGGTTTTGGAACTTAAATCATGGTTTTAGTTCCAAACTTGCCAAACAAGAGAAGAAATTGACAAACCATGGTTTTAGATTAAAACCATGGTTTGGAGCTTAAAACCATGGTTTCAGAAGAAGTGAATTCATTCTGTTTTTAACTCAAATTGGAAAGTATGATTGTATCTGTTAGAGTAGATCTCAACAATAATATAACTTTAACATCCCTTAATTATTTTTTTATAAACATATTTAATCTCATATCTTATAAATATATACGTATTAATTATTTATTAATTATATTATCTTATGTATTATTAATTATGTTGGTAAAAAATATATTATTAATAATTTTATTCCTTCAGATTATTTTATCATATTGACTTGTGCTTTTTTTTAGTAATTTGTATATATAAAAAATGCTTCTGATAATAACTATCCAAACACTCTCACTTCTCATAATCACTTCTTCACAAAATCTATTCTTTTTAGAAGCTATTCTCCAAATCATAGTTTGGTTTTATCCAAACACCCCCTTAATAACTTTTAGCTTCTCACTGAAATTAAATTATCTTCTGGTTCCAAATTGTCACTTACAGGATAGTTCCCCCACCACCCCTCAAAAAAAAGGAAAGAAAGCAACGGTTCAGGTTAATCATTTGTACCCACACGAAATATTTTTTTTTTAAAAAAAGTTCTAATAACAAGTCTTATAAAATTGCGACTTATTTTTTTAAAATAGCTTGCCACTTAAATACTTAACTCTTCTAGTCTGGTTAATTGTACAAGTAAAACCACATGGCTAATTTGTTCGCGCTGGTGAGCTCGATTTACAGGTCCCACCTTTGCATCTTGGACGAGTCTTCAATAGTGTGTGCATGTGTGAGTGAATTCCTAAATCCATCCACGTAAGGTTTACAAGGCTAATTCATGTGTATCACCCTCTTACTGCTGCCTTAACCAAAATGAAGAAAATTTGTTTTCCATTTAAAATTTTACTCCGGATTTTTTTAAATATTCCTTTAGATAAAGTTAACTTCTTAAAATTTTGTTTTTCAAATAAAAATACTTAAGGTGCATTTGCTGTAGTGTTACCCATGAAATTATTATTTTTTGGTTAGAAATGAACATCATTCTATTTGTACTGGTTTTTTTGTGGAGTTTTTTCTTGTTGGGGCAGAAGATGAGATATTTATATTGAACACCATCAAAAACATTAAAGAGGGTAGGTTCATGCTATTATTAATTTATGAAGAGAGCACCCCTTGACCCTTGTTACTAACAAAAAAACCACACCCACACGCTATAGGAAGTGATTTAAAGAGACTAGTAAAATAATTTATTAAAATTTAATATAATATCGTTGCTGACGTAACATCATAAAATGACTTGCACGAGCAAGCTACGAGTCACAAGGCAATAATATAAATTATATAATGATAATAAAATATATCGCTTCTTTTTTTTTTTTTTACTGTCACCAAACATGGCATAAATTTATTAAAAAAATCTCACAGTGCTTCTCACATCAGATTTGATCCTCCAAATGATGAAGAATTCAAAAGACTTCATTTCATTGCTTCTTACATCAAATTGGCTAAACCCCAAATTAATGCGACCAAACTGGGAAGGGATCGTAAGACACTTTGTTTTAGTTTTATTATTTTTTTGTTTGGGGCTAAACGTGAGACGCTTTGTTTTATGGAGCGGAGTGATCTAGTAACTGGGGACGACCCGATCCATTTGGCTCCCTTCGACACGTGCTGCCCGTGGCCGTTGCCGGGCAGCCTCAGGGCGGTGCTTCGGATTCCAAATGATGCAGCTTTGAAAGCCCTCATCTTTTGATCATGTATTCGTGACATTATGTAGAGATGTTTTCACTTTGGGGGAGAAAAAAAAAAACATGCATGATTTTTTGTTTTTGGCTAGAATAAGGCTCGAACAATGGAGTTCGTACATTTGAAAATATGGTTTACTTATTGTTAATATTAATAAAGATCTAATTTTACAAGGCATGTTCATGATTTGCAATAGAACTATTTGACTGTGAATTTTTTTCTCAACCAATTTAATTTAAAAATTATTTAGATAAAAACTAAACCATAATTTTACAATATACAAAATTAAAAAAGTAGGTGTTCCCCACAGCTCTTAAAAGGACGTGGGGGATGATTCTCCATGAATTACTCTTGCCGTGTTGGCGAGGTCTGTGGCGCGCTAGCCCTATTCTCCCTAATTTTTAATTAATATAAATTTAATGCGGAACCCTAGAAAGCGCGTTGCGTTTGTAGTCCAACGGTTAGGATAATTGCCTTCCAAGCAATAGACCCGGGTTCGACTCCCGGCAAGCGCAGTTAAAGGAGCATACTTTTCGTTTTTGGCATATGGTTTCCACTTCACATTTCCACTGTACTTTGTAACCCACTTTCGTCCAAGATATTTTTAATGGCTTTCCACCTCAACATATTGCTGTCCAGGTAGAATCTTAAATGGGTTTTATTTTCTCTCTTTTTTGCCGGATAACGAGAAAGGATGGTATCAATTCTTCAATTATCCTGCGCAAAAAGTGGGAAAAAAATATTGAGCTCAGAATAACGGAAGTAACGACTTTCGAGAAGAAAAGGCCCCACTTATAATGCAATTAGTATAAGCAGCTAGCAAAAGGAGGCATAGAGCTCTCTGTTTCCGCTTTCGTAGAGCCTAATTCCCAGCCAACTGAGAGCACAACAGCTTATCTACATTTAAGTAGTATACAAAATCAGATATCTCGATATATATCAATAGCTGACGTCAACAATGTCCAGAATCAGTAACACAATTACAGAGCATTATATACTAAATAGTAGTAACAATTAGCAGACACCCATTTTTTTTCAAAGTTAGCACCACGCATGCACAATCAAGCAGCTTCCATCATCTGTGCAAGGGTGATCTCCAATCCAGATTCTCTTGAGGATAATCTCTCTGAAGTTCCTTAGGAGGTATGAAACAGTCAATGGATAGTCCCGCCACGTTGAATGCCACATCATCGATGTTCCATGTCTCTTCCAACCTTGTGATGGCAGGGCCTGCCTTCAGATTATCCCCAAACCGCGTAATGATCACCGTTGATTTCCCTGAGTGAGCAATCATCACGCCGTCCACCAACCTATAATCCTCAATTTTTGTAGACATTGTTGTCTCCCAATACGTGGGGTGTGCCCCAGGTGATTGAATCCTGGTCAGGTAAGAGTCCTCTAATACCACTAGAAGTCCACTTCTTTGGCTGAAGTAACCAAATATAACGTGCTTGATCATCTCTGCTGTGTTATCACTGCGATCGATGAGGTCCTTCTGATCAGCTGAGAGCTTCAACACGAAGCAATCTACGCCTGAGATCTTCTTTTCTCCCATGTACTGCGCAGCAGAGAATACAGCAGACACTGCCAGAGGGTCCAGTCCCTACAACGCACAATAATGTTGTCGTTTTCAGGATGGATGGCAAAAAAACAGTAACTGACATTGCTCTTGTCTGTTTGAAACAGCTAAGGTGCCATTTTAGATACTGATGAACTTACTGCACTGTTCTTTCATAGTTTCAGAGGGATCCTAAAGGGCCAGAACAAACATTTTTCCTCAAATGTAGGAGAACTTTCAGAGTATCATTTATGTGACTTTGTCAGTTGTTTGAGGAAGTGGCAAAAAAAAAAAAAACAAGGCAAGAAGATCATATTGAAGGAAAGTCTAAAATAATAAAGAAAAGGGAAACAGAGGAATGTGGGTAGATTGAACAAATAAAGGGAATTTAAAAGGGGAAACAAAGACCCATTACATGGGCCGGTGGCATATGTGTTTATCCAAGCTTGGCATTAAAGAAAATTGACAAGAACAACCATCGACCAGCATTTATGAGTATTGAAAAACAGTTAAAGAATTTTCAGGAGGAGTCACATCATGTACATGTTTTTGTCCAAGACTTGACTGACCATTTATTATAATAATGTTAAATTCCCAGCTCCATTAACAATTTACAAGGGCTAGGTTTCTCTTTTAATATAAACTTCTAAAGACTGAATTGTTTCATAAAGCTAAGGTTTAGGTGTATAACACCACTATTTTCTGACAATAAGCTGGTGCGATACCGCATAGTTAAGGTCATTAAATATTAATAATTACATATATAGCTGTCTGGCACTACATAAGAACCCATATTAGATCCCAAAATATTAAAGCAAAGCATAAATACGCCACCAGCGTTTTTCGAGAAAATCGTTGGGATTGCAAGCTAAATTACGTAACATTTAAATGTTCACCCAACCCTGCTCTATCAAATGAAAAATATTTGTATATATTAAAAATAACAGTAAAACCAGCAACATCCGGTTGGTCAGGAAATTTTCAAACAAGGCATGATTGACGAACTTGCCTGAAGAGCACGACGAAGTGGTCGTACGCCACCTTTAGCGGCGTGCGCGCCGAGCCATGGGGTGTGGCGCCAAGCCACGGCGCCGTCACTACCAGCGACCACCTTGTGGCCACCCACGACGAGCTCTATCTGCCATTTATCGGGAAGCATTTGCCACATAACGAAGCACCCTCTTTCCGAAACTCCGGCGGCCCCTCCGCCGCCGGATCCAGGCTCATCCACCACACCCATTGTCACCTTCCCTGTCGTAAAGATGTTTTTCACTCTCCCTTCTAACTTCCGGCACCCCGTCGCCGCCGCGAAGTGTTGTATAATATACTGCGCTGAAGATGACACCTGTTTCACAGTTTAGAAGAATTAGTTAAAAGGATCGAATTTCACTCCCTTTTCCCTTTTTCCTCCTTTGCCTTTGTCTTAGTAGAAAGGAAGAATGATCAAAAGCTCAATTTTTATATCAAGAGATTTAATTAATAACACAATCGTTAAAGCAAATCAGACGCATCAGTCATTAGTGTGCCGTGCCATACTTTAAAGTTCCAGATATAATAAAGTCGTCAAGAGAAAACCAACAACAGTCCAGCACTTTTTGCTATCTTAATCCAGTAACTACATCAAATAAAACACAGTAAAATTAGAGCTTCAACCATGTTTTCTAAACAAAGTAATGCATCTAAAACGATCAATGCCCTTACAAAACACCAATCAATAATTTATTCCGAGTTGTGGGCAAATTCTGCAGTCCAAACAGCATTACACCCCAAAAGTTTCTGCTTGAAAGAGAAAGTGTAGGATAAAATAAATAAGTGGAGTTAAGGGGCTTGCCTCATTGTGGGGTTCTTTGAGGAGGAGAGGAACAGGGAAGAGAGGGCAACCCAGAACACTTAGAAGAATTTTGAGGTCAGACTTCTTATTGAAGGCGAGAGAGAAAGGGGTCTTGATCCAGCTCCAGTTTCGCCATGCCTGAAGGCCTTTCCTTGAGCCGCCGGTGATTCCATCGTCGTCTTCATTAATAGGTTCCTCTGACAAAGGAGCAAGTCGACCCATCTCAGCTCTCTGCCACTTGAAAATCTGGAGAGAGAAGGAAAGAGGGAGCAGTTGCAATGGAGGCAGGCGGTAGAGTGGGAACACACTATTAAAAGGAACCAGGCAGAACTATTCTGTTGCGATTTGGTCACGCGCAGGAAAGGTGCGTGAGGCTCACGATGAAAAAGGAGCAGAGGTCCCCTTGAATGTAAGATAATTGCTGAAATCTATGCGGATTAACTACAGAATTTAATGCAACGACCAACTTATGATGTTAGGCTGTTAGCAGATAGGAGTTGAATACTCATTTTGATAGAGTTTTTTTTTTATAATTAAGCTAGATTTTTCTTTTCATTATCCTGCAAAGAATTTAAAAAAGAAATTGCTATATATATATTTAATTAAAAATATTATAATATGTCGTGGATATTATACATACATTTAACAATTGAATACAATATATCTCATGACGGATTACGCAAAAGGCGGAGATGCTTTTTCAATTGTGCTAAATAAACAAAAATTAAAGTGAAGAAAGACACAAGCAATGTGCCTTTTCCAATGCATTATTATTATGCTCATCAAAAACAAAAATATTGCACTGTTATTACTTCTAATAATAATCCACATTAAAGCTTATAATAAGTTGCACAATTCACAACTTATGACCTGTTTTTTTTGTTGTTGTTGGAAGGCCTGTGTATTTTTTTAATTCCACACAATATATGAAAAGATGCATCTAATTATGAGGGTATCATTGTGTTGTGGCATTGAAAATGTTGGGTGATTTCTATTGTTTTCGGCAAAAAATTTTCAGCAGTTGTTTCCATGTCCAGCTCTTTGATTTTATGTAGCTAACTTGCGGGTACATGTGTAAACAGAACTTGGGACCAAGGATTCATTTGTCAGTAATTTTATTAGGGCCAAATAGTTGTCTGATTTTATTATCATTAATCATATTGGAAAAATTTTCCAGGCACATGCATCGCAACAACTTCTTCCATGTCACGTGTTGCCCACATTTTCTTAAAAGTAAACCCCATGAAAAGTGAAAATCAGTGGGAAAGCTAGAGTGTGTGGAGATCACAAAATTACTATCTCTTTCACACGCACGAGATCTAAACTCAGTGTTGCAGTGCTGGTTAAAAAAATAAAATAAAATATCGATATATATATTTGCTGAAAACAACAAAATGCCCCGTTTGCTATGCCGAAGCTTGAACAAGGAAAAGGAGATTGGAAAGTGAAAATAGAAATATGGTCTGTGCCATTCTTTGGACTCAGGATTCCCAAGAAATTTGGTTATGCTCCTAAATACTGGCCTTCAATGGTGACGGCAGCTACGGTGTTCAAGTGTGCACGTCGCAGGGCTTCCATGGTTCTGTTATGCTGACGACTGCAGGCGAAGAAGAAGAAGGCCTGTAGGGTGCTCTAAGCATGTGACTGTGGCGGCTGGAGGTTTATGGACGTGCTCGGGAAGGTGGTTTTGAGTCTTCGAAAATGTTTTTACATGTTTATCTTCGCTACGATATTTTGGTTTCTTTTAATATTACAAACTCAGAAGTAGAAAAAATACAAAAAATTTAATTGACCTTTCACCCACCAAATGTACTTTTGAGTTTTAACAAAGGCCTAATTCCATTCTCACTCTCTCTATTCTAATTTCATCACAAATCACAAATGCCTCAGATGGCTAATTGATTTATTTCATTCTCATTAATAAAAGTTATTGTTAATAAGAACATAGCTGCCCACTGCTCTACCAGTTGTTCAGATGAAAACAAAAAAGAAAAAGAAAAGAAGAAGCAATTATCACTCTCAACGTGATGGTTAAAAACGGAAGCACGTCGGACGAAATGGAGGGGGTAGGCGCGTGGGAAAGGCGATCCATTGGGAGGGACTGCGTATCAGACGTGGGGAACCTTCGAATACGGAGGAGGAGCTTTTAAGGGAGGCAATACAATGCGGGTGACGCGTCCACATCCTCCCTCCTTTGCAATGATGCTTTTTCGGGTCGCTCGGTACGAACCCCGGAACTTCTCGTTTGTTGCTTCGGATTTGATTCGCAGACTTCAAGCCACCATATCAACGTCTTCAACTGTTACTCCATTGCCATGGTTCTTTCATTTTTGTCTTTGGCAAAAATTGGACATTATGATTACGTGGCGTGACTTCTATTGTCTTCCGTCCAAATAATATTAAGAGAGTGTTTTAATAAAAACCAAACTATAATTTTAAAAATACTTTTATAATCTACAAAGTAAATATGTCGAGAAATTTTTTTTATTTTACGAAAAAATACTTTTAAGAAACACTTTTCGAGATTGCCAAACACCCCCTAAATCCTTTTGGATGTTCTACTTGAGCAAGCTTGATATTATTTAATCCTCAGGGTGCCCTCCATGAGCAAGCCCTACTATCTTCCCCTTTTGTGCTTATTCATTCTTCAGCAGGTAGCATCACCCCCAGCCTGCATCAACATATATTAAACAAATAAAAATGAAATACCTCACCGCAATAGGGAAGAAAAGATGCACGCAAATACGGATTACCCATGCCGGAAAACAATTACTTTCCGCAGCTAAAGAGGAAAAGACGAGCTTCGATTTAATTCCAGATTACCCGCCAAGGGTTGCTTAATTGATTCTTAAAATGGATATCACCAAGCATGCTCCTAGCATAAATTATTTCCTTTTCATTACGAGCCAAGTCATCAAATTCTTTAGCCAAAAGAAACGGCCAAGGTTCAATGGATGAGAAAACAGCCGAGAAGCCCCGAGGGCAGTGATATTCACATCATAAATCCGACGAAGGGAATTCGGGGAGGGAAAAACCAAGCAGATAGGTCCTTGCCACCAACTTAATATATTGTCAAACTCAGGCCCAAACACACAAGGTACATGAAATAGAAACTAAATCGTTGTCCACTCTGAATTCGTAATCGGTGATCTCCACATGAAGCTGTCGAAATCAGTAACAAGGAATAGCCTTAGAAAGCTCCATATAATTCATGATCGGACTAGTAATAACTTGGACTCCTGCTTCGACTAGGGCTTCTTGAATATGATCGTTCCCTGTAAGGTGATCTGGAGTATGATCGCTCCCTATACCTCCGGTCCCTTGGTGATATTGACCTAAATCATAGAAAAGGGGGCTCTTCCAAGTAAGCAAACTATGCAAACCTTATACTCCAAGGCAAATAAAATACCATCTAAACAAAATCCAAATGCATACCCGGAATAACGACTTCGTCTTGGAGAAGGTGTATATGGGCTGCCGGAATAGGTTCGAGCATAGCGTGGTGAGTAAGAATAACGAGGCGGAGACCTCCTGTATGATCGGCTCCTGGAGACAGGATGAGCATGTAAGTGTTACAAAAACAAATAAAATGACAACAAAAACTTACCACCAACGAAAAGAAATGATAACAAAACTGTTGTCAGAAACACATTTCAGATACCTCCTTGCAATTTGTAAAAGGGTAGCGTATCTTACCTATATCGCTCTCTGGCTCTCATTTCAGCCGGCTTCTTTCTGTTTTCCTCAGCAAACACCACAGTCAACTCACGACCAAGTAGAATTTGACCGTCCATGTGATATTTAGCATCCGCAGCATCAGCTGGATCCACATATTGGACAAATCCAAATCCACGTGGCTCCCTGTAACATGATATTCCGGCATCTAAGGGAAAAAAAAACACACATACACATGATAAAATGTGAACAGACCAGCACACAACTGCTGAGTTGATTGCAGAAACTACAACCCTGACTTCAAAGTATTATACAATCATATCTCAACACTCCTAGAATTCATGAGTAAACATCACACGAGTGCTAACCTTGTAGATGCCAAAGTATAAATTGAGATGAAACTCTTCAAGACTTGAACTTTCTTCACAATGTACTTCAACACTATGTACACTAACATGACCTTGAACAGGACTCTTATTACCTGATTGGGTGTCTTCAACACAATACCTTTATTACTTCTTTGTTGTCTTCAACACAGTACTCTCTTATTACTTCATTCTTGTCTTCAACTCTTTCAATAAAACAACCAAATTTCCATGAAATGATTGTGGTGATTATATTAGGAAAGAAGTGGCAAAACTAAACAAGGGAGGGAAGCCACCATTATTTATTTCACAAATTCTACAATCAAGACATCTTAACCCAGGATAAAATACCATTGTTAAAGTAAGAAACAGTATTCAAAGTTCCTTTTATCTTTTCTTCTTTTTGCCTGTAAAACTTTCAGAACATAGTGAGCCATCCTTCAGGCAATAGAAAAATATGCTTACCCAGTATAATAATCGCGAGGTAGGTAAACATCCTTGAGAGGACCAAAGTGGCCAAAAGGTCCTCGTAGATCTTCTGCCCTGTAAACCAAGAACCAAATAATAATTTTAATCAGCCCACTGAAATCATACAAGAGGCAACGGTAACTCTCCATTAGTACCTTGCTTCCGTGAAGTCCCCAAAGCACGTTTACATAAAATATATTACTTACAAATTTCATAAATACTTCCCTTCCATCAATTCTCCGAGGTATATTTAAAGATAATACTCCTCCGGTCCTTAATATAGGACCCAATTCTTGAGTTGGTTTTGGTCTTAAATATAAGACACATTTCTCTTACCCCTATAGATACTCCCTCAACCATAATTAAGTAAGAGAGAGGGGTATTAAGAAAGATGATTATGGTGTTTTAAGAAAAATGTGTCAATTTTCTTATAATTAACTAACTTACCTAACTCTCTTAATCTAATCAAATTAGTTAAATGGGTCTTATATTAAAGACCGGAGGAGTACTATCATTTACAAATAAATAAGTGGCAGGCCGATGGCTAAGCCGAAATTCATTAGTACCTGCAATCTCTGTGAAGGTTCCTAACCAGAAGACTAGTTGGCAAGTCCCTACCACGGCCCCCATAACGACCACGGGGACTAGGACTGCGGCGTCTTCTGCTATAACCCCTTGGAGGTGAGGGACTGTAACTGTAGCTTCTGCCCCTCATTTTGCAGTTTAACACACGCCTGTCATATTTAAAAAGAAGAAGAAGAAGAAACAACTTAATAAGACACGTTTTTAGCACAAATAATTGTCATTAGAAGCAAGCTGAGGAAACTCAACCGTGCATGATAAAAAATAGTCAAAACTGTTGAACGCCTTCCAGTTCTCATAACAAGATCAGCAGACCCTACAATGAGAATTTTTACGGAGACCACGTCCGATTCTCTTCGAAACATAAACTGTGGGTTTATCTTTCAAGTCTCGCATGCATGTTGTCAAATGAAGATTCCCAAGGAGCTCTATTCTTACTTGTTAGCATCATATATACAGAGGTAGTTAAGAAGAAATTTAAGGAAAAATCAGCTATTAAAGCCCGTGCAAAGAAGGATTGAGTACACTTTTCTTCACTCCAAGAAAGAAATCGTTTGGGCAAAGTTCTGAAGAAAATAGCATGACATAACGCACGAGGTTCGAATCATTACATATTAAGCGATAAGTCAGTGATGTCTTCGTGATCAAACCCCACGCCTCGAAATCAACTAGAAGTCTAGAATAGTGGGGGTTTTTGGGGGGGGGGGGGGGGGAAGACACGTGCGTGATAAAAAACATACACGATTCTAAGCCTTAATCACGCCAGAAATCAGAAAGAGACGCTTAACATGAAAGAAAGGAGATAGATTGGCCCCCCTAACCAAGAGATGATCCGAATAACAAAGGCTCAACAAAATATAAGAAGACGGAAACAAGGACCTACCCTGACTGGAGAACAATCGGCAAGACAGGCCTCTAATACGGCGCAGATGAAAGCTTTGGCTTCTTTTCTATAATCCTGAGAGCCCTCTGGTTCATCCAAGAGTTTTAAATCAAACGCTACCTTACTCGCATTCGAGAAACTTCTTCTTGGATTGGCTTTGCTTAGGTGGCAGTGGCCTCGGGGTCCAAATTAACAAGATTGGGCCTCATATAGCCCACCAGATTGGGCCTCTGCGTCATTAAGAGTACGGGAAAATCTTTTGGGCCTCGGAAACGCTCTCCTGGATCTTTTAGAATTCCAAGAACAATCCCTCGTAGTCATCATTCAGGCTTTGTTTGGTTCAATAAAAAGAAGAGAGGGGAGGTTAATTGGAGGGAGGGGGGATGAGAGGAAATGGGGGTTATAATTTTGTTTGGTTGAAAGGAAAGAAATGGGAGAGGATGTTTCTTGTTTGGTTCAGAATGAGAGGGAAATGAGAGCTAATTATAAAGTGACAAATATGCCCTTATCTTTTATTTAAAATTTTTTATTATTTTATTTTAATATTTAAATTAAATTTATTATTTTCTAATTTATGAATCTCAAAAAATTAATCACCATACCTACATCCAACACAAAAAATTATATCCAGTTTAAATAGTATTTTTTATTGATTATAACATATCGTTTCGTTAATTTCAATATACTTGTTAAAAATTTATACTTCTTTAAATTATGATAAAAATAAAAAATAAAATGGATTGTTGTTCCTGTATGCAAAATAGTTGTATATATTCATTGTTAATCTCAGACGCACAAGCTACTTCTCAAAATATCACTTTTATACTCCTTTGTCATCATTTTATCTTCTTATAAATATAAAAGAATACTTTCCATCAAAAGATTGAGAATAGCAAAGAAAAATAGCAGCGGATCTGAGAAAGAGGAGGAGATGAAAAAAGGGGTTTTAGTAAGAAAGGACAGACTTGTAATATTAAATAATTAGTAAGAATAATTTAGTTAGGATGACATATAAAATTTCTCTCCCCTCCAAAAAATCCCAAATTTAGAGGGGAGTAAAATGAGGAGGGAACATTAAAAAACAAAAAAAAAATTTCTCTCCCCACCCCTCCATTTTCTGAACCAAACACGCTTAACAAATGCTCTCCCCTCCCCTTAAAAAACCTCTAACCAGACAATGCGTTAGGGATTCGCTGCCGTTGCAGCTAATGTGGTTGCTTTGTTTTTTTGTTACTCTTTCAGTCTTTAATATAAGATCTATTTAACTATTTTGATTAGATTAAAGAAGTTAGCTAAGTTAGTTAATTATAAGAAATATGACATATTTTTCTTAAAACTTCATAATCATCTTTCTTAATATTCTTTCTCTCTTACTTGATTATGGTTGAGAGAATATTCTTAGGGATAGTTTAGAAAAAAATTAATAAATATGAGAAGTAGGTCTTATATTTAAGATCAAGACTAACTTAACAATTAAGCCTTATATTAAGGACTAAAGGAGCATCATTTTGTAATGCTGTACTTATTATTAAAAAATTAGTTGACTAATTTGAGTAGATTAAAATAATTTATTAAATTAGTTATTTACAATAAACATGTATTGTCTTCTTTAAAATATTCTTACTAATTATGTGCATTAGCCAGAATTACTATTTGATAAAATATTTAATATGAGCAACTACTACAAGAACTACTTTGAAAAAAAAAAAGATAAAGTGAATTGAGGTATGATATTTAGCACTCAATTAAAAGTTAAACTAGCTCTTATATTAAGGACAGTAGGTATTATAATTTTAGAACTGAAAGATTATTATTTAAAATATCATTAAAATGGTTACATTTAAACATTTAAATATTTTAGAAAACTATATAATTAAATATTTTAGAAAACTATGTAAATAAAGACCCGGGATTAAAAAAAGCTTATTTTCCTCGCATATTGTTAGAATTTTCACAAACAATGCGCAGTCTCAGTAGATATTAAAATTTCAACAATTTTAACATAAATTCTTTTTAGTGGTGGGTGGCTCGAATCTTTACGAATAGTTCCAGTACTTTTTTCCTTGGGCCAAAAAAAAGTACCCAGTCAGTAACTCCATAACTGCAGCACAGTTACTATCCCATCCCCTATTCCTAAGGCATTTGATATTTTTATAGAGATGTTTAGCCAAAAAAAAAAATGTGCATGGCCAATCACCAATCCAAATTACTTCCTGTTACGTTTTTTACCGTTGGGGTGCCTAGCGTACCCTTTTTTTCTTTTCCTTTCTTTTTTTCCCCATCTAGCGCATCTCATTGTATCAAGGTGTCGTAAATAAATCAATACTAGCTACCACTGCCAATTACCATTACCATTACCAGTAACAAGTACTAATAATCATCAATCGATAAAAAATGACGGCTAGCACAAAAAGAAAAATTACCCCCCGCTACCCAGCGGGTCTTACCAAGCTGTCATAAATAAAGCGCCGCGTCGCATATCAGGCTCATTCACCCCTGCCAAGTGACGCTGCCGCCAAGTCGCCAACCCTTGCTCTAAAACCCCATAAACCTTTTGGTCCTGGGCTACACTTCTACGCGAAGAGCAGAGCCATTGCCGTGGGTAGACATGGCATCTTCTTCGAAAAAATCCCAGAAAAGGAAACCCAAAGGCATGCCTGTGGACAAATCCTCTAAGAAAATCTCTAAAGAGAAGAGGAAACCAGTCAGCGTCGTTGGCTCTGAAGCTCTGGGTTTGCAGCTCCAAGATGACGTCCCTGATTTTCCCAGAGGTTACAACAAGTTCTTTATGCTAACTTCTTTCGATTTATGAAGTTCAGCTCACTTGAACCACTGGTTATGACTTTGCTGAAGACCTGTTGAACTGAAAAAATTGTTTATAGCTATACGTTTAGCGTACTATATGTTTGTTTTCTTTTTGTGTTGTATTTTATTTATTCTTCTACCTTTCAATCGGCCTTTAGGCGGAGAGAGTTCTCTTACCTCCAGGCAAACCGGAGAAATACGTCCAGAAGATGATTATGAATTTGGGACTGAGGATCATTTGAAAAAGAAGAAGAAGAAGGGAAACAATATGTCTAGTAAGAGTCGGGCACCCGTAGATGATTTGGGTTTGCTATCCGGTGGTGGAATCAAGGGAAAACTACCAAGATACGCAAATAAAATTACTTTCAAGGCAGGCTTTATTTTGTATATCTGTTGTTTACTTCTTTACATGTGGTGTTCTGTTATACGCATCCTCTTGCAATGTTGCTCTTCAACTTTCAAACACAATTGATTTCTTCACATCTTTTTCATAAGTATTGGATGTTATGGTTATATTATTGTCTGCTCTACATTAAGTATCACCGATGCTTTGTTACAATTGACGGAATAAGCATTGAAACATATTCACATTTAAGTGCAACATGGATGCTAGCTTTTTTTGTTTTGTTTTCATCTGTGCTCTATGTGAAAGAAAAACTCCAAAACTATTAACATGTTTGGAATTAAGTCTCCTTATGTTCAGAGAGATCTCACTATACTCGAATCAATTTGACAAATTTCCACCACCATAGACCAAGTTTTTATTCAAGAATTCCAAACTCAAACCGTTCCCCCCATAGATGAATAAGGAAGAGGCCTTTGACATCTGTATGTCTCATTACTCTTTCATAGTTCTTGTCTAAGGATTGGGCTTTCTATATTGATGCAATAAAAATTATGTTGCTTTCAGTTGCATAGAGTTTGGTTTGTCTTTCTTTGTTCAGTATAATTTAGAATTAGAACGTTGGTCTTCAAATGTGTCTGTAGTCTTTACGTTTTTCATGGGACTAATTTCTGTCATTCCTTGTCAAATTCACGTCCTTCGTCTTCTTCTTCTTTTTTGAAATGTGCTTACAATTTTCATTTTTGCATCTGTGCCAGAATATATCTCCTGGCATGAAACTTTGGGGACTTGTGGCTGAAGTCAATGAAAAAGACCTTGTAATTAGTTTACCAGGGGGTTTACGTGGATTAGTTCATGCATCTGATGCGTTTGATCCTATTCGGAGTGACCAAGTTGAGGTGTGTATAAATCTTTTCTCCCTGATTATCCATTTAGTCTGCCTCTTCCTCTCATAATGCTTTTGCCAATGGTTCATTGCCATCATTGACTGTTCTTTACTGTTGTTATGTACAATTTTAGCTTATCTTCTCTCTTGTCAGGTCGGAGAAGGTTTCCTGTCTAGTCTCTTTTATGTTGGGCAACTGGTTTCTTGTGTTGTATTGCGATTAGATGAGGACAATAAAGACAAGGGCAAACGAAAAATTTGGCTATCTTTGCGTCTTTCAATGTTGCACAAGAACTTCAATTTAGACGTTGTTCAAGAAGGCATGGTATGCAGACTTTTCTAATCTATAGAACAGAAGTATTTATGGTAATATTTTTAATTCCCAATTAAGACTTAATAGTAGGTTATAATTTCATATTGATGTAAATGGGCTTTCAAGCATGAGATAGTTGGAGGGATCTACATGCATATTGAGATAAAGAAAAGCCTACGATCATCTTCTTATAAAATTAAGCTCCACTATGCTGAAGCATTCCTTTGTGGGTTCTTAACTTTAGGTTTTGTAAGCATGGACTTTGTGTATCTCTACTTACTTGGGCTCTGAATTTATGAAAAGCTTGGAATTACTTCTCATTTTACATGCTTATTAATTATTGTCTTTTAGAGACATGTATTTGTAGTTGTTTTCATGTATGTGCTTACCGTATTCTGTTTGTTCTTAACGAAGCCAGGCGATTTTTTTGTAAGAAAGTTTCCCACATTGCATAAACGTAATTAAACATCCTCAAGAAATGGACTTTAAAAAAAGGTTGTTGATTTTCATCTTCTATTTGCAGACATTCAAGATACTTGATGTCAGTGAGATACGCTAATACCCAAAAATTCACAGGACGTGTTTCCATTTTAGTTATATATTTAGTCATATTTACTTTTTATGCGTGTGTTTGAAAAGCTAATGATAACTTGATAACTATTTTGGTGCGCCTGCTTGTTCAGCACTAACATCTACCAATCTGTTTGATTAATGAAGCCTGTAGCTCTGATGATGAACTACGCAACTTACTTGCATGATTAATTACATAAGCATAGTACTCGCAGATGTCTAGCAACTTTTCACATCTTGACCTAGCAGCTGAATCAGATTGTCATGCTCCTTTCTTAGAGAACGAAATAAAAGATCCTTTGCAAGTGATTATATCATCAATTTCTTGCACATGCTATTTTAATTCATCATGATGTTATGATAATGCATTTGATTTTAATGTCCAGTTTTGCTTGTACAACCATATATTATTTTTGGAGGCATTTGTGTGACATATTGCTTATTGAGGATGGGACTTTTTAAATACAGGTCCTTGCTGCATATGTGAAAAGCATTGAAGACCATGGTTATATTCTTCACTTTGGCCATTCTTCTTTTATGGGATTTTTACCAAAGAATAGCCTTGCTGGTAAACATCTGACGCTTTTTCTGAATTTTTGTTGCCTTCCTTTGTGTAACATGGTTAGACTGAGTTTTGGTTTTGGTTCTCTTTCCCTCCGTGTTCAAATTCCTGCAGATGGTAGAAGTGGTGGAGTAAAAGCTGGGCAACTTTTGCAGGGAGTGGTTAGGAGCATTGATAAAGGTCGTAAAGTTATTTATATGAGTTCTGACCCTGATACAGTGTCTAAATGTGTGGTATGCTCACTCAAAATTCATTGTGCTGTTTTTTGGTATTTTTTAATGATCTGTTGATATTAGTGTTTTTACTTTTTCATCATGTCCCCGATGGTGCTTTGGAACACTTGATACAGACCAAGGATCTCAAGGGTATATCAATTGATCTTCTTATCCCTGGCATGATGGTTAATGCCCGTGTAAAGTCAATTCTTGAGAATGGCATTTTGTTATCATTTCTCAATTATTTCACTGGAACTGTAAGTGTAGTGTTTACTCATCATGGTTGCAAGGCATAGCTGATATTTTGAGTGAAGAAATTCACTTAACAAACCCAACATGCTTTAATATCATTTTGGGACACATTTCATTATCTCAGGTTGATCTGTTTCATTTGCAAAATATCTACCCTTCAACGAACTGGAAAGATGGTTACAGTGAATCTCAGAAGGTACTTCTTATGCAACTTTTCCATCTTGCACTGCACTGAACTGCTACAGATTGTTTCCATTTAATTTTCTTATTTTACAGACATATATGCATCTAGCTTTTCCATTGTATACCTAAGGTTGAGTTGGCGTCCGCAGTATCTTTCTTTGTAATTGTGAGACGGACACCAATTAACCTAAGTAAGTATGTCTTCAAATTTAATTTGTAGCAGAACTATGGAAATCAGTCATTCCGCTTGCTAGGAAGTTGCAGTTCTAAATGTTTTTTCTCTCTCCTCTTTTTTATTTGACTTATTCTAATCACTAACTGCTTTAAAATTTAACTCCACAATCATTATATTCTAGGTTAATAAGAACTTGTTATATTCTAAATAAAAAATTGATTAAAATGTTTTGATACACACGTTTGGAATTTAAATTACTAGAATTTTAATGTAGTTATGTGATATTCTCCTTGATTTGTTCATTGTTTGGCATCATTGAATTTCGCAGTCTAATCAGGTTTTATCATCCTGTTAAATATGCAGTTTGCAGCTTTAAAATTCATGTCATTACCTTGATTGACTTGTATACATTGTGTTCCACTTACTGATTTTGTTTTTGTGTCTGATTCTGTCATCTGTGAACTGATGCTGTGTTCTTCTTTGGAAGCCTGTGATTAAAGTTCAACTGTCATTAAGCACCTTCTATGTGATTCAGGTTATTGCTAGGATATTATTTATTGATCCGTTGACTAGAGCTGTTGGTTTAACGCTAAATCCACATCTTGTTCAGAACAGGGCCCCTCCATGTGTAAGTATATTGCCAATCATTTGTGCTCCCATACACAGAGTTCTTTCTGGCCAGGATTAAAGAAATGTTTTAGTGTACTTATTTTACTCGTCCATCATGTTTGAGCTCATGCGGGAAGACTAAGATATAGAATAAGGTCCCTCCATCAATAAGCATATTGCCATCTGTTTGTGCTCCCGTGCACAAAACAAATCCTTTCTGGCCAAGATTGAAGAAATTTTTAAGTGTACTTAGTTTATCCATCTTGTTTGAGCTCATTCTCTTCTTGTGGGAAGCCTGAAATATAGATGAATCTTCATACCCTTCCTCCTCTTTGACCTCCTAGAGAAATCTTGTTTATATTACCAAGATGGCATTCTTGTATTGCAAGCAAATTTTATGCACTGATGATTTACTTTGCCCTGCAGGATGTTAAAATTGGAGATATATACGATGATGCAAAAGTTGTCAGGGTGGATAAAGGCTTGGGCCTATTGCTGGAAGTCCCATCAATTCCGGAGTCTACTCCGGTGTATGTCAGTGTATGTTTATGGTCATTAGCTCAGTTGCTGGAAAAGTTTTTATTGTACATGACAGACTTAAAGTTTGAATGGTTATTAAAACAAATTTTTGACAGATATCTGATATTGATGAAGAGGAGATCCAGAGGCTTCAGAAGAAGTACAAAGAAGGAAGTCGTGTTCGAGTTCGGATCCTTGGGTTAAGGAATTTGGAAGGAATTGCTACTGGAATATTGAAGGTTATCATTTTTCTTTTTGGGAATAGTACGGGGGTTAAATCAAACAGAAATATGTTTTACCATTTAATCTGGAAAGTAGCAAAGATGGATTACTAGTTACTGCAGCTTTTCCTATGGGTCATGTCTGAAACATAATCTTTAAAGGGGTTTGACCTTATTTACTCTATTGACATTACTTTATCCTTCTTTCCTTCTGATGACTTTCTTATGCTTAATGAAACTAGAGTTTTGCGGGGCGGAGGGTGTTGGGGGGTTTCTTCTAATTTGAGTTAAAGAATTTTTTCACGACCTGTTTTCTGTAGAATGTTTCTGTCAATTTCTGTATCTCTTCTTCCTATCCCAGGTCTAACCACAGATCATTTCATTATTGCTTGAGAGTCGTATTCATGATATCAAGTACATGTGTTTAGTATTTTAGAGTTTGGGATAATGTGCTAACAGATGTATATTCAATACTGCCTCTATTGTTTTTGGAGCTTTAGTGCTTGGGATCAAATGCTGAGGCCATTAATCTCTTGTGGTTGATTTAATAGTTATAATTGTGAATTGGCACTTGCTCTCCCCCAGGTTTTACTTTGCTACCCATCTTCTCATCTCAAATTATTTCATATAAATTAGGAGTTCCAGAAGCCCTTGATTGTGTTTTCCACAGTCTGTTTTGATTAGCTCCCCCCCCCCCCAAAAACAAACGGGGGAGAATTTATATAATCATGTGGAATGAATTTGGAATCCATTGTACCTATTTTAATGGGAGTATAGTTCATTTATCTTTCATTTGACAGTTGTTGTCTGATAAATGTTTTAGCGTGTTAAATATTTTCGGTTTACTCGTTGTCTATGCTTTTACAATTTTTTATACAGATCTTCTATAAAATGACATTTTTACCTGACTAATGTTGACTCTAGGGTGTTTTCATTTAATCTGTTGTGTTTCTGTATTGAGCAGGCTAGCGCTTTTGAAGGAGATGTGTTTACACATTCTGATGTCAAGCCTGGGATGGTGGTGAAGGCTAAGATTATTTCTGTTGATGCTTTTGGTGCTATTGTACAAATCCCTGGTGGTTTGAAGGCGCTTTGTCCTCTTCGTCATATGTCTGAATTTGAGATTGCTAAGCCTGGGAAAAAATTTAAGGTTCTGATTTAGCCACATGTTCTGTACGATTTATTATGCTTTGTGGTCATGCCATATAGCTTGTGCATTTTTTCATGCGTCTGATTGTATGCATTTTTTCATGAGTCTGATTGTACAGACAAACATGTTAATTGTTTATTCTGCCTGGGTTATGGTGCAGGTGGGAGCTGAATTGGTATTTCGTGTGCTTGGTTGCAAGTCAAAAAGGATAACAGTTACACACAAGAAAACCCTTGTATGTTGCTTGTTTTGGCTCTTTATATGTATGCATATTTGTGTGTAGTTTTCACCTAAGTGAAGTTATACATGGAATTTTCCCTTGTATGTGAAGTTTGAACTTCATCATGCTTATCTCTCTTGGTGGTGATACTTCAAACTTATGGACATATTTGTTTTGCACTTCTTTAATAAAAACGAATTTAGAATTTACAATGTTGTACGCTTTCTTCTTGCTAACTAAGCTTTAGTCTTTATATTTGCTGATGGGCCTTAATGGAAACATAGTAGGCTACTGGAGATTATAATTCTGATAGGGATTGAGGTTGTGTGAGATGCTTGAATCTCACATTAAGTAGTGTGGGTTGCCCATTGGGATATTAATACTGATGGAGGGTGGTTCTCCATGAGCTTTTGGGTGAGGGCTCCCCACCCCACCTAGATGCTGATTTCTTATTTAAGTATAATTTTCAAAAATTTTGCCATTGTTTCGCACTGTTGGTGCAGTTCCATTTATTTACCCATAGAGTGAAGCCTCTTGCAATAGAAGTGGAATACATTATAGTTTTGTTTGAACATACCCTGGATTTCGTTACCTTATCTACAACCTTTACTTGATGAAATACAAGGTGGACTGTTGGGAGAAGAGGGTGAGAGAATATATTTTATTACTGTTTCTTTTTTATGTACAGATTTGTTCCCTTTCAGTCCTCAATGAGCCAAAACTTTTGAAGTGTGTGTTTTGCTTCAAGCTTTAGCCATGTTTTTGTGTTATATTCAACTTTGAAGCGGAATTGTTATGATTTATTTTTGGCAGGTGAAATCCAAACTTGGGATAATAAGTTCATATGCTGATGCAACTGATGGATTAATAACTCATGGGTGGATAGCAAAGATTGAAATGCATGGGTGCATTGTACGATTTTACAATGGAGTTCAAGGATTTGCTCCCAGGCTAGTTTCTTATTAACAGATTCATGCCTTGACTCTTTCTGTTAGTATTATTAATTTTTTTTAATGTTTGTGTTTTTCTACCTATGAGCTTCCTTGAGTAAGGGACGCATCGTCATATTGTCCAATCTTTCTCACAACCAATCTCATCACTTTTATGATGTTTTATTCATGTGCCATTATATACTTGTCAGTTTTCGTTTTTTTTTTTAAATGTCGGAAATGTTTATTTTTTGGCCGGATATGATGCGTAAGATATCCTTGGAATATTGGGGATAAAATTTATGTGGAACTGGATTTTACTCCCTTTATTGTTGTTGTCTTCCTTCTGGCTTTCATCTCATACTTTCCTCAAGTGGGTTTCTTTGTTGGTTGTACAGGAGACGTGGAGATTTCTTTCTTGTAATTGATTGATTTTGATTTCTTTGTAGTCTTGTTTCTTGGTTGAATCGCTTGTAAATAGCATGTTCTTTAACAATTTTAATATAAAAGTCATTCTTGTTTGATAGAGTTTTTATTTCCTTGTATGGATCTGTGACAATTCCACATTGATTTTGAAGTTGAAACAGAGGCATTCCTTCTATGAGGAGGAATATAGAGATAATAATTCTGGCTCAGGCAGCAGAGAAATTTTGATGTTCTTGATAAGATATCTATTGTGCGCGTGCTGGAGTGTGCTTCTCATTAGTTTGCTTTCATTTTAGTGATGACAATATCTCTCTCTCTCTCTCTCTCTGGGCGAAAGGTTTGATCATATCTTTTGCGAGGAAAGTTTCACTTACTACTTTGGTTTTGAAGTTTTTGCCATCTTGTAGGTTGAATTGATGAGTGCAGGAAACTCTGACAGTGCAGGCCTTTTTTGGTTATATGTGCTTTTCCCCTTATATTATTGTTTAGGCATCTTAAAAACTTCTAATGACCATCTGAACTCTGAGTCAGTGCATTGTTGTAGTGATTTTATCATAACTCTTATGGTGTTATTTTACTTCTGTTTGTTTGATTATTTATCATTTTTTTATATTGGTATAGGTCTGAACTTGGTTTAGATCCTGGAAGTGATCCAGGTTTGGTTTATACTGTGGGACAAGTTGTTAAATGTCGGGTAATCAGCTCCATTCCTGCTTCACGGAGGGTCAACCTTAGTTTCATCATCAAGCCTACGAGGTCCCCTCCTCTTTAAGTTTTACCTTTTGATTGACGCAGCATGCTATAATTGAAATGTTTCAGATCCATTATGGGATTCATTTCCCTTGCACTTCGCCGAATTGACGTGATGATTCGTATGTCAGGGCTTCTGAAGAGGATATGGTTAAGCTGGGTAGTCTTGTTTCAGGAGTTGTTGACAGAATAACATCAGATTCTGTAGTCGTTTTTGTAAACTCCAGAGGCTTTTCAATGGGTAAAATATCCGTCGAGCACTTGGCTGATCATCATGGTATGAATTTCCTTCTGCCTGATTAAGGGTTTTTTCATTGCTTCTGCTTCCATTGAATGATTAACATAGTACTTTTCATGCAGGGCAAGCTATTTTAATGAAGTCAGTTTTGAAACCAGGATATAAATTTGATCAACTACTTGTTTTAGGTACATTCAACAATCCTAACAGTTTGTGCGAAATTGCTTGTTGTGATCTGGGGACAATAAATATCAACGCATTATTGATATATAGAATGATTTTTGACTTCCCATCTCTATCCTAATAGCAATAATGGCAAACTCATGCACTTTCTACTTCTCTGACAAGATCCTGCAATTTTAATTGGTATAATACTCATCAGACCTGACATCTTGGGAAGTTGTTAGAGGCATGCTTTCATACAACAATTTCTTTTTTGGTCAGGCTTGAAACTGCTTTGGCCTTTCTGTGTAGATGGGGCGCTAAAGAAGATACTGAGTTTTTCTTATGATTAATTTGACTTCTGACCCCTTACCCAAAATAAAGCAGAGCCTTGCAAAGTTGTGAGATTTTAGGGTTATAATATGTTGGAATTGGTCAAGGAAGTTATATTACATGCGTATATCTTTGCTTCTAGACTTGCCTGTATTCATCTGTTTCATTTTTAGCAGATTTTAACTTGATATTCACTGGGTACATTCTGTTAATCTGAATTCGCTAATCCATTTGCAAATTAGTTGACTTAGCAATGAAGCTTAAATCAATCTTATAATTCTGGCTGGAATAGTTCCTTGTGTTTTCTTTATTTTGCTTTAAATATTCATGATCCTTCTGTAGTATTAAGTCCCCATGCGGATAGCAAATTATTTTCCATGATTTCCATTGTGGGGCCTGGTAGAAAGCATTGAAAAAGCATTTTAAATAGTGTGAAGCAGGTTTATCGCAGTTGTGGTTCTTATCAGACTGCTCTGATTATTTTATTCGAGGAATTTTTTAAATATAAGTTTGGGTTCCCTGTACATTTGTGTCACATTTGCGGTGATTGAGTATCTATATTTGAAGCTTAATTATATTAAAATTCCGCTGCTTGCTCCTGCCATTCAAAAATAGTAAAAAAATTTTATATTTATATTTTTGCGGATAAGAGAAATAGAGCTGAAGCTTCTTGGTTTTAGACCAGGATGATGCTAGTATTTTTTTTTTTTTGGTTTCTAAGTGTCTTACTCTGGGTCTGGAGTGGTATTTTATTTTTTTGTGCATTTGTTGCCCAGAATTAGTGGAGCCCTATTTCAGTTTAGTTCATGGCATTATAATTTTCTCAAGCTAATATCTATTGCTGATAACATGTGTGAAAGGAATTTTGATGGTTAATTTGAAGTTGTGTTCTAATGAATGCAGATATTAATGGCAGCAATCTAGTTCTGTCTGCCAAAAGTTCGCTTATCAAATTTGCTGATCAGATTCCTCCAGATATTAGTCAGATTCATCCTAACTCTGTCGTGCATGTAAATATTTGCCTAAGCAGATGGAAATTGCTTCCCATGCTTTCTTGTTAATGATAACTTGGTTGAGCTCTTCTGCTTCAGCTGAATAAATTCTTTGTGTGGAGCAGGGTTATATTTGTAACTTAATTGAGACAGGTTGCTTTGTCCGTTTCCTTGGTCGATTGACTGGGTTCTCTCTCAATAAAAAAGGTGTTCTATATTTTAGATTTCTTTATCCTCAACCTTCCCCTTCTCCTCATCCCAGCTTGTGTTTATATGGCTTACCTTAATATATTTTTATTTTGTATAGGCAACTGATGACAAGAAAACCAACCTCTTGAA